TGCCACATGTGTCATCCACGCGAATTCTTCAGGTATTTCGGCGATAATGCAATGGCATCTTCAGAGAATCTTCCACTGTATGTTGAAGCTGGACAAGGCGAATCATGCAAGATCATGCAACTATAATCTTAAGGCAAGTCAGCAAATGACAGAGTCTTAACCCTCAAGTGGCCTTACTGGAGGCACTCAAAGCTTCTTGAAACCTGAACAATCCAGACACAATCCATATTTAATGGATATGAACACACTTCAACCACGCAGATCTATGCACAACACCTCACTTGTGATCAATACCCTGCAAGAGATCATTATTACTATACTGAACCAGAGTCAAAACCCGCCGTTAACAGACCTTTAGGTGTTCACCAACAGCAAAGGCTTTATTGGAGGCCGATGGGTGTTGTTGTTTGCGGGCCATATTGCAATCAATTGCTAGAAAGTACGGACGATGCAAATGATGGAGACGAGAGGAGATTCGGGCGGCAGCTAGTCTAGATAACGCCCGACTGTTATCAAACATCTGATAAATGAGCCAAGTATAGCCAATACAAAGATATACACATGTGACATGCAGATGACCAATCATCGGAGCGTCCAAGGTTAAATCAGGCGAGAAGCGACAGCCCCGCCGAGGCTCAACAAAGCTAGCCTTTCATGATCATGCCGTCAGGATCATATAATGGCGCCAACGATTGGGAGAGGAGACTCATGCCTGAGCCTGCGGAGTTTTTCTGCTGTTTATGACAAGGCAGGCGCCCTGAAAATGTCACGTTGGTGTAAGGTTGACGGAGCCGACCGTTGGAACCAAAGTTTTCACCCGGGCAGAAGCGACCGAGTTGGATGTGACGCGCCCGAAGTCTGGCTGGCACAGCCACTCGCCAAAATGCCGCCTAAAGAAAGGCGCCCAAGTTTGCATCCAAGAGCAACGGCGCCGTGTATAGATGCCGCTTCAGCTCGTTATCAGGGCTACTCCAGTCAAACTGTCCGGTGAATTTGCGACAGCAATTACGATTTGCCAGTCTTAGCTTTCCCGCCCACGTATGAACCTAACTTATTTGTGATGTGTTTCAGTAACCACTGTTCCACCCACTCTTATTTGTGCCATGGACGCCATGTAAAAGACATTGTAGAGACTGTTTTATAACAAAGCGGATGTCTGCTGATAACAACGGCAATGGCAAATTTACATCAGTATGCGTCAGATTAATCCGTAAGCGCTAAAACATCCGATAGGTTGACTGGACTTGCTCGGGCAGTGGCAAGGCAGCGGGGCCAATCCCGTACTTGTTTGCGATAAGATCCTGATAAGGATCAACTGTCCCATATCCCCTGTCTATCGTTTAACATCCTGGGCTCACCTTGAACGTGATAACGCTGCTTCCTTGTTTTGTATTCCTGTCAATATGGCGCGCACCAAAGCAGGTCATGTTCCTAATCCGAAATCTCTCCTGATGCACCAGACCGAAACAACTCAACATGGGAGCAAGCGGGTTGAGAAGTCCAGAAAACGACAAGTTGATATGAGCAGGACACCGCACAGTCCCCGGAAGGCCAAGAAACCACGCACAAATTCTCCACCCAGACTGCCAAAATTCCTCTCTCCTGAGCCCGCTCCCTCGGGACGGCGCAGAACAAAACGTTGGGTAGGGTCACTTCGACGCAAATCTATGTAATGACCTGATTTGACTACCATATAGCTGCAAATTGATTACTTGAGGATATGGCGGAAATACGAGGAAGAACAGCTCCATGCTCTGCTCGAGATGGAGCGCCGGCGAAATGACGTTTGCCCAAGTTGCCGCGTCTCTCCCACAGCCTGGCGGTGTCTGTCGTGTTTCGGCACTCCGGAGGGCTGCAAGGACTGCATGCACAGCGCCCATAAGCAACTTCCGTTTCACAAAGTGGAGAGCTGGGAGGGGAGTCATTGGCGCCGAGCCACTACAGACAGCTTTGGGGTCCATCTTCATATGGGCCATGACGGCGCTATGTGCCAGAGCCAGGCTACACCTGCGTATGATGAGATTTGGGTTGATCAAGACCTCGGCAGCATCTCGGATGCAGATCGAATTGCTCTCGAATGTGGTCTGGGGCAATCATTCAGTCATCTTCCTCCACCTGATTCCGACACTGATGAAGGCAAAGAGAAAGCGCCAAAGGAGTCAAGAATCACAGTGGTGGATGTAACATCGATCTACGAATTCACAGTCGTATGGTGTGAATGCCAGCCCGACTACCCTTTCCATCGACAACTCCTTGACATGCGTTTATACCCTGCGTCATACAATGTCCCTCAGACAGTTTTCACCTTTGATGTTCTCGAGGATTTCACCCTTAGCAACCTGGAGAACAAAGTACCCGCAAATGCCTACTTTTCTCGCCTCGTTCATGCGACCAATTCAGCATTTCCCGCTTTGGTTCCAGTGCGGAGTTTTTTTTTGTTCCACGTCTTGGTTAAACTTAGCTGTCCTGCAGGATCGATATCGAGAGTTCCAACGTTGCGCACGTCAATGGATGCATTTGATGTCTCGGAAGTCCCATGGGCACGGATATGGCCAGCCTGATCAGGAGAACATTGCAGGGTCAATGGCGGAGTTTTGTGCGGCCTGCCCCCAGCCTGGGGTAAACCTGGCTGAAAATTGGGAAACAATGAATGTGTGAGCCATGGAACACTCACTACATTTCAATTTACGCATAGTTGACATCGATATGATAGTCCAGAGTGGTTGCACGCTCGCCAGCTCATGGTTGATGGCAACTTCAAGCAACAAAATTACCGCATGCGGCGTCCTGAAAATGACATTTGCTTGGGAGATGGTCTCGCCTACACTGTCAACGAGGATGATTACCAGAAGTATCTATCAGTCTCAAAGGAGAAAAAACAGGTACGCAGATATGCATAGAAAGCTACGCGAGCTCATTGAAGGACAGAGATCAACATGTAATGACCACCGCGCAGTACTTCTCACTAACAAGCGGCGGAGCCATGTCCAGGTCACCGGCATTGCGGCTGTTGCATGTGCACGGCATGCATGCTTTGTACCCAATGCAACCGCTGATCTACAATTTGGAGAAAGGCGAGTCCGACTTCAGTCCGCAGTAAGTCCGTTGGGCGCCTTCTCACATCGGTTTTTATAGGCAAATTAATATTGACTACGTCATCGTAAACGCAATCTGGATGATGCTAGTACTTCGGCTTGTCCTCTTCTACGATATTGCGTGTCAGTACATGGTCAATTTCTTGACACGTGTCCGGGACCACCCTCTTCTGTCGTTACCTGCGGGACTGAAGATCATTCCATCCATCGGGCTATTTCACGTGCACGGACACCGGGAAAGTTGCGTCGCACGATATTCCCCAACTTTCATCAAAGGACTAGGTTGGGTCTCTGGAGAGGGAATTGAAACGGTGTGGCCCGGGCTCAATGACCTTGCACAGAGCACAAGGTACATGGCTCCGGGTGGTCGCAGGCAATTTCTAAATTTGCACATGGGCTGGCATAACAACAAAAAAAAGCATGGAATTGGTACGGGACGGGAAACCTTCAGCATATATTGGACTTACGCCGCTTCTAGTGAAATACATCTCTCAGCAATGGGGCAAGGCCATAGCGCGGTATTACAAAGCTCAAGAAGACCTCAGGAAGCTTGAAAATGTCTGCGAAGATGCTCTTATTGCAGGGTGGCAACAGCTACTCAACAAAGCTTACGCCGCCCCTGGCAATGCCAAAGTGAAGGATGAGGTGTTCAATGTCAAAGTTGGGAAACTCCCCTCCCGCGCTGAGAAAGGTCATGAGATCACCCAGCGGCATGGAGCAAAGCGCGAGGACCGCGACATGGTGCGATGGGCAAACTTAGGGATGGACATAGAGGAAGCTCAGTGAGTCCCAAAATACCCCTGTGTGGGACAGTTCTGATTCTTGCTCTAGAATTCGGGTCCAGATTGTTGTTCGGCGATATCAGCAACACCGCCGACGTGTGGACTTATTGACTATCCAAAAGGAGCAGAGAAAGCTTAGTCAGAAAATCCAGGAGTTTGAAGATGGCGCTGTCAAGTACATGGGAGGTTTGGTTCTCAGCCAAGGCGCCGTTATCCGAGAGGACCAAGACATTATGCTTGCAGCCGAGATCGACCCAGATGAAAATGTTGAGGTTCTTGAGGAGGATGTTGACGACCCGCATGCCACAAAGGACGCCCACCCAACTCCTTTGGGTGATGTTCAAGATGAAGCTGACAATGATGACGTCATTCATGCCGACCTCGATGATACCGCTGAACCGGAGAACGTCACCATCGGCTTGCCATCAGCATTCGGTTATAAGCGCTGTATGGCCTTGGGACTGTCACGTGTTGTCGACGTCGAGATGCAGCTGCGTAAAGGCCAGGCCCATGACGCCCTTCAACACATTCGGGACCACATCGGAAAAAAGTCGGTCCTTGCGCGTAAAGCGCTCCGAGAAGTGCGCGGAAGCCAGCGCCAGGAGGGCGCGGTCTGGGACAAGTTTCATGTCCTCAGCACAAAGATCAACCTTCAACGTCTCTACTATAATCGAGCGCGCACTGCCATGCAGTCTTTGGCGAAGCACCCTGAAGAGGTCAGCCAGTATCAGAAGATGACGCGAGTAGATCTACAAGCCCAGACTGAGCAACTCATTCCAGATGCTCGAGGAATGCGACATAAGTCGCTGTCATGGATATGGACCATTGACATAGATGAGGCCCTAGCAGGGAAGGATCAGAGTCAACTCATTAATGCCAGTGAGTGAATAAATGAAGATGTCAATTGTACCACTGATTGAATTATTTGCAGTTGCACAAACGCAATGGTTGATGGCAAAATGCATAGTCGACAGGGCGCAGGAAGAGATTATTCTATTGCGTCATGAGATGCAATGGGTCCCGGCTTCATTCCAACACGCCGCAGCCAAGTGGAAGTCGCTAGCAGAGACACAGCACGGGAAGCAGGTCGGTCATCGCTCCTATGCAATGAGTCAGCGGGCGGCGAATAGTCGGCTCCATGTTATGGCCGTTGCGGCGTTCAAGGCGCTGCTGAAGAAGCGCCCTCCGCCAAATGACTTTAACGTAGGAGTGAGTGGGACAGGTGACGTTACATGGTGATATGGACAACACTAGCTATCTCTTTGTAAATGCAACCTCACCATGATCCTTCCCCTGCCTTCGCAACCATATGGAATGCATCCCTGAGATAAAATGCCATGCAAACCTGTTCTGCGTTGCAGTGGGGCACGGTGTGGCAGAGTGCGTTACCGCAGAATGGCACGACATTGCCAGGCCTATAACGGAAATCAATACCTGTGACAGGCAGAGAGAGCTGGCTGTCCGTGTATATGACACACGTAGCCAAAACATCAAACGACCAATGACGCTGCGTCAGTTCCAGTAAATCAGCGTTTCTCGGTTCGAGATGACCGTGGCGGCAGTAAAAAAAGACGCCCAGAGAGATATTAATCGGCCGGCATTGGGCCGTCCCGACGTGGACTTCATTATTTGAATGCCCTGTCGGTACTGCTCAGGATGGACCATATTCAGGATTGCTGAAAGGAGGCCGAAGACGTCTCAGGACAATGCAACCCAGCCACTAAGCGCCGTCTTGTCCTTCTGTGCCAGTTTACAGACCCCCATCAATCGGAGCTAGTCAATCATCTCTGCCTGAAGTACAGGCGAGACTACATCAGGGAGAAACCACGCTGCCTCCAACCAATCTAAATCAATGAGCTTGCAGGGTCGAACTGCCAATAAGCGGCCAGTGTTTCCGTTGCGGTCGAGTGAGTAGAATGCGCATTTGTCCAGAGGGCACAATATATTGGGCGGCTAGAGTGAGAAGGTGCCATCGGGGCGCTTGTCAAGTGCTTGCCCTGGTGTCAGTATTATTTTGGTGAGGTCAGAAACTTTGCAATGCAAGGGAACGGGCTTACCTGCGCACGCATCAGCGAGGCGGATCCGCACTGCTCGCCTAAAATGGCTGGGGAGGCGTCGGCCTACATCGGGACCGTCGATAGGTTTGTCGATGTAAAGCGCGCTCACGTTCCTTGCGATAATTTCACAATGAGTAATTACATCCATAGGCGACTGTACGAGTAAGATCTAAGCGTCGCCGAGTGTCGGGTCATCAGACCTAGGCGTGGTTCTAGTCGATGTCACCAATCGGAGCAACGTCGGGTCTACACTGCGCACATCGGGTGTCTAATCGTCACGCGCCTTCGGGTGTAGCGGCACTCGTGCGAGGACGGCGGTGGATTCGCCACTGCGAGGAAGTTGTTCGATTGTCTTGCTTTGTTATGTTCCTTCCGAACACCTGATTGCTCGTACGTTTGTAGTTCTATTTTCTTTGCTCTGAACCAGACGCCCTCAGAAGACGCACAGTGGATACATAGTTGTCATATTGTGAGTTCTCACGTACCATCATCGACGGCGCCCGGTCCATACATGGCCAGACCTTCCGGAGATATCGGCAGATCCCCGATGGAGCGCCCTGAAGTCCGCTTTGATTAGAAAATGGCGGGAGATCTACGACTGCCATAGCGGGGTACAAGGCTGAAAAGCTGCTCAGGCTACGCAAACCTAGAGACAATCGATTTACGCAGCAAATCAGCCCGTGGCGGCGTTCGGGCGCGGCGTTCCTGGCAACTTGAGAACACAGCGCCCGGCGCTGTGCTCTACGGATTAGGGCGGAGGGCATGAGGTCTGTGTTGGGAAACTGTATTAGCGCTCACCTTCAACCGCACTGTGGAGGTAGTGGTATTTGAATGTGATACTTCGTATCATCCATTTGCATTGGGGCCGGCATTGCCATATGGTGACAGGACGGAGGCGTCGATCTTGCGAGGTAGTGGTATTTTTATCTAATATAGGCCGCCTAGCCCAACCGCCATCATCAATGCTACTTGCTCACCGGTGAATAACAGTGCCTCCTCTGCATCCTACACCAGAACATTCACGTGAGCTTTTTCAAGAAGCAAAACTCTTGGTGGACTCCGTTCCGCCCATCAACGCCAGTGGCAAATGGCCTGGGCGGCCTATATCAGATCCAAATACCACTACCTCGCAAGATCGACGTCTCCGTCCTGTCACCATATGGCAATGCCGGCCCCAATGCAAATGGATGATACGAAGTATCACATTCAAATACCACTACCTCCACAGTGTGGTTGAAGGTGAGCGCAGCAACCCTTCTACTCTTTCTACCTCTGCTCGTGTTCCTCACGGTGTCAAGCCCAAGCTTCGAAGGACCAAGGTGGAGATCACCGAGATCTCAAGCGGCGACGAGATCATTGAGATATCAAGCGACGACGACGACAATGGCATCCCAGCATCTCCTCCTTCCCTCCTTTGCCCATTCCCAATGCTCGACGCGGTTGACACGTCTCCTGCGTCTCCTGCTCTCCCTCATCCTCCTCCTTCAATCCCCCTTCGACTTCGAGACGAGGATGAGGGCGAATATTTTGACATTGACGGCATTCAGACGGACGACAGCGATGTAGAACACCAGTAAATTACTCTGTACTAGTTCATTTCGATTTGTTTCACCTCTCTAGTTCATGTATGTGAATAATAATTAATGTATTCAGCTGTACAACGTTACAATGAGATGTACTACTCGTTCAATGGGGAATAGTTTGGGTGATGGCCCTTTTCCCGAAGCCGTTCGACAACGTCAATGTTGCGCAACCGGATCATTTCGTCGAGGAAGAAGTTATAGCGTACTGATGTCATCTCACGTACCATGGCATGGTACGAACCGAGCCATACGTTGACCTGCTCGGCGATGCTGGTATTAAACCACCATCCGGAATTATCGTCCTTATGAAGCTCGGGGAAGAGCGCGGGGTTGCAGTTGAGCTGGCAAAATTCGTGCGTGGTTTTATGCTTGTTGATGAGGTGAAAAACGTCGACGGACATACGTACGGTATCCCACCAGGGATCCTTCATCGCCTGTTGCTTGGTGTCGCATGCTGTGTCGTAAATCCAATGTTCAGGTTTTTGAGCGCCTATAATGCTAAATAACGTCTTGACAAATAGCTACGACGGCTCAGAAAAAAAGTGATCGTAAATGAGGTTGTAGGACGTACCAACACATTGGAGACAGCTTCTGCCCCGAAGAGCATGCCACGCCCAAGGATGATACCGCAAGGACGAACCACCGTCTCCTCGCAGCAGGAACGACGCCGAGAAAGATGAATTTTGAAACGCTTTGCCTTCTTGCCAGGGCAGTCTACGTTTACGTCCTCGGCCTGCTCGTCGTTGACACCGACATTTGTGGGGTTAGAGTCGACGTGCTGCACGGGCCTTCCCTCGCTGTCAAGTTCGTACCATTCGTCCGTGTTGTCGGGGAGCGATGCGACAAGCTGCGAATTCAACGCGTCTTCGTTGGGTCCGCTTTCAGCAAGCACACCTTCAGGCCTTGAGGTCTGAACACGGGCGAGTCGAGCCTTGAGCGCAAACATGCTCTTGCCCCGAGCGCGTGTTGACTCTTCCATGGCGCGATGCGCGGGTTTAGAGCATGTGTGGGTCGTCGAAGGGGTCCGGCTGATGGGTTCATTGCAGTTCTCGACGGCGCAGAGACCAGCGTGCTTCTGGTGCGTTTGGCAGAAATGGTCGACTGTAGACCCGAGCTCCTCGGTGCACCGGAACAGCTTGCAAACATAATGTCCAATGGTGATACCGTCGCTGACAGCGACCTGGCATTTGCCTGACAGGCAATACATAGTGAGCTATAGTAGACCGCTGACCTTAATAGAAAAACATACGATATTTCCTTTCTCCGTTGGGCAAGTCCTCTCGCCACACGCGCATGCAAAGGTCACAATAGTGACGCAGTTCGTGTTGACCGAGCCGAATAATCCTTTCGTTGCGCTCTTTCATTGCAAGCTTGAAGCGATTACGTTGTTCGCCCTTGTGCGGAACGCGGAGGGGTACCTTGCGATCCTTGGCGTCGCGGAGCAGAGCAAAGACTGTAAACGCGGTCCACACTTGTTCCTGAGTGAGCGTTGGGCTGGATGGTAATTGATGCTTGGTGGATGACAGTCGAGGGCGAGACCAGTACGACGACTCAAGGTAGTCTCCAGAGCGAGCAAAACTCTGCTCGTACACGCTTGCGTTGCTCGTAGCAGACGTTCTAGATAGAAAAGGCACAATTAGACCAATAGAGGAACTAGATTCGGACAACATACGCGGAGTATAACATCGTGTTGGTCCACATGTTCGCAAGTCTGGCTTCGGCGTAGTGATGCATGTCGACCTCTATATAATCCGGCATGCCAAGGTAGTATCTTCGCTCCTTCTGGGCGACTAGGAGCCCATCGTCGTTGAGAACAAGGACAGGGCGGATGACGTAGTTCGGATGGTATTCCCATCCGCACTCTATCCGGCGCGACGTCAAGAGATGTACGAGTCTGAATGAATGATATGCACTCTCGCAAGTGAATGCAATTGACTTCGCGAACTGGACGCCGTGTTCGATTGTGAACGCAACAACGCGGCGAGGGACGAGTTGTCGTAGCTCGGATTCCTTGTTACAGCTGGTGTTCTTACAAAGGCGAGTCGGCGGGTAGATGTTGACGTATGCTGTCAATATGGGTTCAGGCTGACGCTGGTCTAAAACATAACTTTATGACGTACCTAGACCAACCTTCCACCCTCGTCCGTACTCAATGGTAGTGACCATAGCGTGTAGACGCTCGCGGGCGCGCAGCATTTGCCAAATTTGATGCCGAAAAATGTCCCATAGTGCGTGAACGACAGGTCGGCGGATGCGAAGTGTGTCGGAAAGCCAGCGAGAATGAACAAGAGGGAGAATCGGGGGCGGCGATGTTGTTTTACGCTTGGCCTGTTGCACTATCGCAACATTGTCGCGCCATTCGCAGCAGCGGTCAACGAATGCAAGGACTTTATCGTAGGTGAGGCGAGATTCTGCTAGGATTGGGTTGGTGGTGAAGGCGTGGGCGACGACGGTGATTTCAATAGACATGTTAAGGCTGAGGCAAGGTATAGTACAGGCGGACAAATCTAAATATGTGTTTCTGGTGGCTGACGCGCGACGCGCAGCCGTCACGGGCGGTTGACATCCGAAGTGGCTGTGTCTAGGCGCCAACACCGCGCCGACACAGTGCCGACACGCGGCCGGCACTTGCTGACACCGCCACCAAAAGGTCCCAGATCACCTGCAACCTGCCCTCCGAAGCACCTAAGTCTCTCCGCCAAACGAGCCAGACCGTGTCACATGATTCTTAATCGCCGGCACCTTGCCATTTTTGGGTCTTCCGGAGGCTGAGCCCCTCGGGAGCTTCTCTGCTCGCCTCCGTATGACCTATCTGCCGTCGATTCCCTGCCAATCCACGACAGGAAAGACCACGTTCGCTATCCGGAGAACAGTGGGTTGGCGATCCTTGCACGTGGCTGCTGGGATCGGGGCCGTCCTTGCTCCTATCGAACCGAGCGACGAGGGTAGCCCCAGCGCAGGCGGAGAGCACAGGCTTCGGAGGCAAGGGGTAGGGTAGAGGGGGATAAGGGGAGGGTGTTGGCGTTGTTAACGTTGATGGCGAGAGCCAACGAGTGGGTGTGACAAGTGAAATACTGTCAAGATAGGGAACGATGTCATCGAATACGAAGGGGAGGGGGTGTCTGGAGGCGAATGCGAGGGAGCAGGTTGGTGCGCGAGAGGGGCCGCTGGTGGTGGTGATGGGCGCACAGGCTTTGGGGGCGAAGGCTAGCGCTGGGAGGCATATGGCGAAGGCGATGGTGTCGACGAACTCGATGACGTGAGCACGGGAGTGGGCGTCGACGAGGGAAAGACAGTGGAGGGGGGAGAGGGCGTCGCCTTCGAAGGAGAGGGGAGGATGTAAGTGGGATAGGGTCCTGGGCCAGCGAAGTCTTTGCGGATCCTCGCCTCGAACTCCTGGAGGGTGATCGGGTCGACGTTGAGCTCCCAGTCCAGGTATTGGCACATCTTGCACTCCATCTGGTTGATCTCCCTCAACTGGAACATGCTCTAGGTGACGATACTCCAGCTCTTGTTGGAGTAAGTGTCGTCGCAAATCACCTTGGAGGCAATCAAGGAGGTCGAGACGAATAGTCGATGGCCGGAGGAGCCGCGCGCGGTAGAGAAGCGTGCCTTAAGTCGCTGGAGGAGGGCGAGAGCGGCGAAGGTGACGCAGGCATGCAGCTTGGTTCGATGGAGCGCATGTGCGATGAAATACGGGAGCTTCACCGGAGCCCGACGACGAATGCGGGTACTCCGGGCAGGCGAAGAGGTGAGTGATGAACCGCGCGCAAAGGCGCGCCGCGTCCTTGTGCTCATAATAGGTGTTTGAGGATTTATCAGGACGACCGCTTGGAGCCGAACGGAAGGACCGGGAAGCAGTCGACAACCATCCCAGGCTCCTACCCATCCGGCTCTGACTCGCGAGAGGGCTATATCCGAGGGCACCGACGCAGATGACATATGAGATCATGATATATCACTTTATAGTCGCACCTGTCAAATATCTGTCACATTTCGAACCCAGCCTGAACGTTAGTGCCCTCAGGACGGCGAAAACTCCCTATAGGGCATGTCCGCCTGGAACCCCTCTGAAGGGGGTCGAGGCGCTATAATTGTTGGTCCCTACGGCCGCCCAAAGGCGCCATTTCGGACATACATGCTACCATGGGAAAACCATTTATACGCTTAAGATTTGGCTGAAATATTTTTAAATTGCATTTTTCGCTACTGCAGGCATGAGTGGATATGGATCGACTGATGGTGGTAATTAACTTTGTAAATTTTGGTAAAATGTCGGGTCGAACCCGCGACCTCGGACAAAAAGCTCATCATCAACGTCACCTTACCACCTCAGCCACGAGGCCATATTTGAAACCGCCGCATTTTGAATATATGACTACATACCTTGCGTTCACACTACTCTCCTGCTCTGCGCGACTTCGTGTCAAGCGTCGTGTGCTTGTTCAAGCGCCAGTAGTCGCCAACGATAAGGAATGGGGATGAACTACCTTTTGAACTACCCACCAAGCAGGCTCTGAGGTAGTCTCCAATGGCATAGACAATCTTTTGGTCATCTACTCTATTGAAGTGGAGAGTAAGCTGGGGATACAAGAAATGTGTTATGTACTTAGCAGCGCATTTTTATGTATTTTATCCAAGTTAAATTCATTTATCGCCTCCAAAAAGCTGCGAAAAACCTCGCCAGTCAAGACACCAGATCAAGAGTTCAAATAGGATTTAGGTTTATCGGGGGTCCCATCATGCCCACCGGACCTCCAAAGGCGCTATCCCAGATATGACAGAGCCGCCGAGCGTGCCTGCGGCGCTATCCAAGCGGACATGGCCGGGCCTCTGCCGGGCCCCTCCGGGGCGCTATCAGCGGACATGCCCTATAGGGAGTTTCCGCCGTCCTGTATTAATGTTCGAGCTGGGTTTGAAAACTTTGACAGGTAATTACCATATGAGGTATTTCAAGATTTCGTATGTTATCCGTGTTGGCGCACTCGGCTTAAGCCCTCTCCCGAGTCAGATACGGTTGGGTACGAGCCTGGATCCGTGCTCTCATTAGGCTTACAGGACCGGTTGCTCCATTCTTTGGTCTCAATTAAAATATTTAACGCTCACGCCTCTCGCTTTCCTTGTTCTGCTTTATTCTGCACCTTGAGCTCGCTATTTCCGTGATAAGGGCGACTCGGTCTCCCTATCAACCAGGGAAAATCGGTGGCCTGTCTTGCATAGACGGCGCCCAGACATATATCCATCCTATCGTCCGATAGTCAGATTTCACGCCCAGCGAATGCCGCATTACATAGATGACTGAACGAAGATGGATATATTTTCATGACAGGCCACGTACGTGATGGAACAAGATATAGTACAAAAAACGTCGTGTTAGACAGAAGACGGATTGCGAGACGATCCAGGCTCAGCGCTGAAAGGGTGCGCCTGCTCCATTCCATCATGGTCTGTCATCTGTCATTAGTAGGCGGTGCCTTCATATGATAGAAACACTTACCTTCGGGAACAATGAGCGTGCGAGAATCCTCAGATATCGGCAGGTTCATGCGCTCCATGATGACGCGGAAGTCGGTCTGCAGTCCGCGCACAGCGCGCGCCATGTCTTTGAGCGCCGAGTTATGGACGTCGAGCTTTGCATTCACTTCTCCGTGCCTTTTAGTTGTGGCCTCTTCCATTGTTTGCATCGTGTTGTTCCAAAGCTCCAAGAGGCTTTGGAGCGACGCTTTCATACTTGGCTGCTTTTGATCGTCCGAGCCATCTAGGGCCTGGGGTGGATCTAATGGAAAGTTAGAGCGACGTGGAACACGAACGTCGGCAAAGATATGTGACGTGTCATTGTACGCACCGGCTGCCGCCTGAGGAGTTCCATGCATAGACCAGCCGCATGCAGAAATGGTACGTGAGCAAGGGAAATATGTAATTAATACAGTGCTAATGAAAGGTTTGACGTCGGACTCACTACAACGGCGGCCTTGCCAGTGGCTGATGCTCCACTACCAGCAGGGACAACCACCGTGGCTGTTGCGGCGCTAGGAGCCTTGGACGCCGGTTTCGCGGATCCAGCGTCCTTACTGGATGCAGGCGCCTTGCTAGACCCAGACGGGTTGGCCGCAGCTGTAATGCCACCAGCGCCCGGACCTCTTCGGCGTCGTTTCGTCACGGGCTCAGAGGATTTGTCGTCAGGCGACGCGAGGGGGGGCTCTGTCCTCGGTTTTTTCTTCAAACGCCAGTCCACGTAGATGATTAGTGACGGCTAAGGAGAGGGCGCATATGAATACATACCTTTCGCCCTCTTCCCTTCGGTTTGGGCGTGGGCTGATGACTCAGTGTTCCAACACTGCTCACAAGACAAAGGAGCGACTTACCGGGTCAGACTCTGCTGCGACATTGCTGGCGTCGTCATCGTTGACGTCGTCATCTTGCCTAGCCTTGGTCCGGCTTCGCGTACGACGCTGTATGTCTTCATCCTCCGACACGTCCTTCATGATGGAGTCTTCTTGATGAACAGCCACGGGAGCGTTTGGAGCGGTTTCCTCCATCGGAGATGTTTCCGATGCCTCGTGATTGTCAGCTTCAACTTGAACCGACGCCGACAAGTGATCATCCAGGGTGGAAGGGGCCAGTGGCTCGGCGGGGGTCTCATCGCGTGGTACGGATGGTGGAAGCGGTGCTGAGGGCGCCCGAGCGTCCACGTCGCTGACACCTTGGGAGACGTTTGCGGGTGGCGCCGTCGCCACTGGTACCAAAGCAGGCGAATGGTGCGAGTTTTTGCTGTATTTCAAGGCCGCTAGAGCAGCTACTACGTGAACTTCGTCGCAAGGCTGAAATATGGCACATGAGCAAATGGACGTCTAGACAGTACGACAAATCACGCACCGGGAATGGTGGCTCATCCCACCACCGAGGTCCTGTTTCTCCATTCATGGGAGGAATCCTACACATCTGCTTGGGAAATAAATACATTGCAGGGTTGGAAGGATGGAAGTTGGGCGCGTGGAAATTGCCGTCAACGTGGTACATGGCAACGGTCACAGGACCGAACTTGTAAGGGCAATCTTGATTTGCGCGAGCGACATCCATGGCATTCTTCAGCCATTCCTTGTTCTCGGCCTTGAGGGTGTGTGTACAGTTAGCCAAATGGATGAATGCAAAGTCGGCGTGCTTACGACTTCACGCATTGAGCGCTCGCCAAGCACGTTCAAGTCAACTCCCTGTTGAGACGACTTAATGACTATGTGTGTAAAGCGGCGGTCGATGAAATACAGCGCCCTTTGAACCTGCTTTGGCGCGGAGAGGTTGAATCGCCTGAAACTTTCAGGAGCGTAGGCTGGAAGGATACATGATAGGGCATCAATGCTTGCCATGGCGGTGGGTCGATGAGTGAGTGGATGAATTGGTGATGGACGTCGTGCCTTATCGAGATGAGAATGGTGAGAGCGCCACCGTGTGAGCGGTTTGGGCAAGGGCACCCTCTGGCGTTCTCACGGGTCCGATTCAAGGTTCTGACTCGCCCTGTGGCAGATATATGCCTCCTAGGAAACCTACCGAAGCCGGTACGATCCCCTCCTCCCCCCTCCCGCTACGTTCGCTCACAGCGCGTAGAGCTTAGACTCAGGCCACAGATCGGGGACACCGCGTACAGCAACTTGACAACGAGATCGCTTGGGATGGTAATGTCGGATCAGGGTAGCGAGCCGTCAGAATGGGGTGCGTCATCTGAGATTTGATCAACAATGTGACTGATCTCTAGGCAGATTGGAAGACAAAGGGCGCGAACCTCGTTGAGCGGCGTGACTTGCTGAAAACAGGTATGTGGACAGAAACTGAGAGCCGTCGCTGCACTGACTATGGAGTGAAGCTGATCAGCGTGAGGGACCTGGTTCTGGTCCCCAAATGGAGGACGCCGATATCGAGCAGGATGCTCCTAATGATAACGATGGCGATCAGAGCAGTGAAATTGCTCATGCAACGGACGAAGAACCCGACTCGGAGATTGAACATGGGAGTAACGAGGTCCCCGATAACGTCGAACATCGGTTTCGAGAGCGGCCGTCAATGGACGACGAAGAATCCGACATCAGCGAGGCAGAAGATGACGAGCACAACTTATCCCATATTCCTGATCGTTGGGATCCTGACCCGGGTAAGTCAAGAACTGTCTTTTGTTGATGGGCGCTCACACGACGACGGCGCAGTGTCGTTTGGAGAGCCCTCGGAACTGTTGGGTGGGCGCCAGAACCAGCCGACCTGTGAGTCTCATTAGCTCGGGTGTTATTGGCGCTTACGCTGGCCAAGTCGGGTATCTCGCTTCCCTTGATGATGCCTCATACGAAAGTCGTACGTTTTTCGATGCTGAGCTGGCACTGAGAAAGCGGCTCACTCTGGTTATTGGGTAGCGCTGGGGGCACGAGCAACTCCTCCTCCCGCGACGGACATGGAAGACAGCAACGCTCAAAGCGTGGGCAATAGCCCCATCATTTCAGGTGCGAGCTAGACTCCACAACATTAGCGTCACGCATCTGACATGTCGTCAAACACGTATCCAGTCGCTCCATCCCCGGTGGGGGATAGTGGCCAAGTGGATCCTGCCTCGGCGGGTAAGTCGTACGGTCGACACGGACGCTGCGATAATTAACCCACTCACAGCGGGCACATCGCCCAGGGTCTTCTCCAGCGAGATCGTTCGACAGTTTGGCTCTCCCTCGATGTCAGGGATTAGAACAGCCATCACAAATGATGCCCTACCTACTCGGGGTCCACTCCCCGATCTCCGCGGACATATTGGAACGGGGGCGCTTGCTCAGATACAGACACAGGTGCCAAACCGCGGAGCGCCCACCTCGACCGGAGCGCCCACCTCGACCGGAGCGCCCATCTCGACCGGAGCGCACATCTCGACCGGAGCGCCCACCTCGACTGGAGCGCCCATTCATACCGAAGCGCCCGCTGAGGCTGAACAGGCTCTCAGAACATCGAGTGTGCTCGATGAGCTCGGGCCACTCGGTATGAGTTCGAGGGAGTTCCGAAACATGCTAATGGCCCAAATGGCCGCGCAGCCGTCTCATACTCGCTCATCCCAGTTATTAGATGTGTTCGTCGCGAACTTGCTCCTACGCCTTGGAACGCCTCGAGGGACTCCAGAGGAGATGGTGTCGGCGATCATCACAGAGCTCGACAGAGGCACCCATCCAAAGTGGAGCATGTTCCCTCCCACAACACGTCATGGGTCCACTGTTCGAACTCAGGACATCGATGAAGCAGTGGTCAATCTGGTGATGGTGTGGATGCTCACCACGCAGCGTCAAGGTCGCGGTGGAGATCCCGGGCCGTCGTCACAATCAGGTTGAGATCAACCTCATAAGTTTTGGTAGCGATAATCTGTACATTGTATCAGCATAGTCTTGTATGATTAGAAGCAAAATTGGCACATGCTGCAGGGGACGCCGACCGAGGAGGTCAGTAGCTAGGATGGCCGTTGGTGCCGAGAAGGTCGGGCCAGTGGACATCCGCTGACGATGGAGGAGGTCGAATCCGCGGATGGTTAGACATAAGTAAGATTTACTACAATATTAGTAGTGAAGACTTGTTAGTAGTCCAGTACCTGCTATAGTGTCGGCGTGCAGGTCGGCGTCCAAGTCGGCGTCCAAGTCGGCGTCCAAGTCGGCATCCAATTGCATTGTTTGATACTACTATTTTAGCTATTGTTACATTAGTCGCCTATGTAATGCAGCATCCAATTTTCAGCAGCACAATGAGCGGCATCAGATGAATGGCGGCGTCCCTGAGGAGGTCGGGTCAGCGGACTGGATCAGTGTACTGTAGCTACACTACGATATTCATTGGCAAGCAATCTATGTGCAAACATCAATGTCGGCATACTTCAATCAGGAGATGTTTGGAT